TTCTATATGCTTAACATGTCAAACAATTTCCATGAATTTGTTTTTGGATAGCGCAAAAAAAAACAAAAAAAAAACTGATAAATTTAAGAGGTAAGTGTAAGAGAGGAGTAATAGAGATGTCTCGTATAGATAGATGAATTTATGATAGGAGTAATAGAAATTTCTTGTACAAATATGTTTGATTTTTCCATTTAAATTGCCTGTTGCCTTAGGTCGACACGCGTGTGGTGCCCTCTAGCGGTATGCTTGGCAAGAAACCTCCTAACTACTCATCAAGACTTTAAAAACACAACTGGTTGACAAACATATGGTTTTCTCACAGTTAAACGTTTTTAGCATTCTCTTAATGTTTATAGGATGAGCGATAAAATATATAGTTGGTGAAGAATCTGCTCAGAAAAAATAGGGTTAGTAATGTCCTGTATACAGTAAACAGTGTTATTGCCCTCGCTTTAAAACCTAACCCTAACCAATGCGTAATGACATAGGAATTATTATTGACACTGCCCAAATGACCACTTGTCCATTAACTTAAAATGTTCGAAGATTTCTAATTCCCAAATTGGTTGCACTTAGAGGTTTACGTCAAATCAATGATGAAAACAATATTTGTTTCAGTTTTATTTATCAAGCTCTTGAGAGAATTATGAAGGAAGAGAGATTTTAACAAATTAGGAACACATTTATCATCAAGCACTACTTCTTCATGCCAAAACAACGCTAAAGATGATACTATAAATTTAAGAACTATGTTTATATCTGCAATGTAGCTAAAATATTCGTGAGGAAATGAAACTAAAACCCACATTGTATCTTTCACAGTGGAGCTGCGAGTCGAAATCACCAGGGAGCGCGAGCTTCGTGAAAACCTGGAGAAACAGTTACTAGAAGAACAAAGGACGAGAAGTAAGTAAACATAGTTGTTTATGTTGTAGTTGTTGTTTTTATTAAAGATCGATATGATTTGACTAGTAAATATCTTTTGTCATGATGTTTTTAAGCAGTTGTTATATTTCATATTTTTCACTCTCAAGATACTAAGATATCAAAACTCTCAGATATAAAGCTTCTACAACTGTGAACAAGATACCAAAACGTTAAAACTCTCAGATAT